TATTACAGGGTCATTTATGGATTAAGCCTTGGATACCACCCCTAGAGATGTCAGCTAGCTACAACTCATACTGGATGTTTATGCTCTGTTATGCGTGGGTATTGGGTTCCCCTGCAATATTTAAGCCAATCAGTGTTTTTGAATCCATGAATTTAACCAACAAGAAACCATTTCTCACATCTACTATGCTGATTAACAAGCTGATGATGTCACTGATTACCACTCAGTTTTGTCATCCATGTTGGCAGTTAACAAAGCATTTAATAGTGGTCTGGAGGATTTACATTAGTTGGGTTTTTTTGTTCTTGTTCTTTGGTGTTGTTTTTAGATGAGGTCTCACTCTATCACCTAAACTGGAGTGCAGTGGTGTGATCTCAGCTCACTGTAGCCTCAACTTCCTGGGCTCAAGTGATTCTCCCACCTCAGCATCCTGAGTAGCTGGGACTACAGGTGAAGGCCACCACTCCGGGCCGCGTTGCTCAGTCTGGTCTCTAACTTGTGAGCTCATGCAGTTTGCCCACCCCTGCCTCCCAAAGTGCTGGGATTACAGTGTGAGCCACTGTGCCCAGCGTAGGATATAATTTGCAAATTCTGAGCATTCCAGAGGAACTGTCAATTACTACCGTATCAAATATATATATATATATACATTTTCATTACACTGTTGACTATTCAAATAATTCACAAGTGTATTAAGAACCCCCTTTCCCATAGCCCGCCAGCCCATCTCACTGGGGCTACAAGACTAAACAATCCTAGAAGCTTGATGTGCGTTAGTCTTAACAGGAAGGCTATTGACCATTTAACTGATTAGTTGATTCAATCATTTATTTACATATTTATTTTTTATCAATCAGATGTTTATTCCACATCTACTATGTTCGTCCAATGTATAAACAGTGAGAGGTAAGGTTAATAGAAAGTCTGTCTTCTTGCTTTAAAGAACTTAGCTAAGTAGGGAAGATACAGTCAAGATAATTTACATACAAATATCAGGAAATTCAAAAGTCAGAGCAATTACTTTCAGTGGAAATTAAAACATTTACACACATAAAATTGATATTGTAATGATCTCTACAATGATTACAAAGAAAAAAATGTCACATTATTGAAGCGTGTTAATTTGCTTTTGTTTTTTGGCAGAGTGAGCAAGGTGAACTTGATATTTTTATAGAAGAATATGAGTACAGTCTTTCGTTAGCAGAGTTTTGCTTGTAGTAGAACTGATAGTAACTTGCATGTATCCCAAAGGTATCTCTGGAAAGGAAATTTTTTCTAGGTGTCTTTTAAGGTTCTTTCCAGTCTTAATATTTTGCATACTACATTGTTAAATAAATTCATATTCAGATTTTCAAAGCTTAGAAGAAATTTCTCATCGGATAATAAGTGTCTATTTTTACATGTTAAAATTATGGATGATTCAAGTCTTCCGAAGCCTTTTCAACCCTTGTCTTGACTAATGCTTTGTATGAGTCAATACTAATTATTTAAATGTATTATTAGTACTTGCATTATAAGTCTTAATTTTGTGTCTTGGAAGTAGAAAAGTAGAATGTGCGGGAAAATAAATGTTAAAAATAAGAGTTATTTCTTTGGCCTTAGCGCTAGACAAAATTTCTGCATGAGCCAAGTTTCTCCTACCGTCTTTGCAATGTCCACTTCTTCATCTCTCCCTTTGCTGGTATTAGAGTTTCATATGTCCTTATACCTCCTTGGCCTGGTTGTGGCTCCACAGTAATCCTCCTAGACATTTTCTTCTCTCTTCCCTCAGTATCAAGACTTTTTTCTTTTCTCTCTCTTTTGTGTGTGTGTGTGTGTGTGTGTGTGTGTGTGTGTGTGTGTGTGACAGAATCTCATTCTCTTGCCGGGCTGGAGTGCAGTGGCATGTTTTTGGCTCACTGCAACCTCTGTCTCCCAGGTTCAAGTGATTCTTCTGCCTCAGCCTCCTGAGCAGCTGGGATTACAGGCATGCACCACCACATCCAGCTATTTTTTTTTTTATTTTTTATTTTAGTAGATACGGGTTTTCACCATGTTGGCCAGGATAGTCTCAAGTCTCTTGACCTCGTGATACACCTGCCTCGGCCTCCCAAAGTGCTGGGGTTACAGGCGTGAGCCATCGCACCCGACTAAGACTTTTCTTAATCTTGGTTATGTCTGTTGAGTAGCTGAAGGTTGTGATTTATCTAATTCACACAGAGAGGTGAATAATTGACCATTTTCTAGCTTTCTTTGATGTGTTTTTATTTTGATGATATTGTTAATTCAAACAAATTTCTAAATGATGAAATTTCAGATAACACACAAAAATGTTGGGGCCTGTGAGACTGATTTTTGTATTTGATCATTTTGTGAAAACTAAGTCAATGAATAGTGTGTAATGAGGTTAGAAGGAAAATAAGACATGAGAGGAAGATTTATGGCTTTTACAGGGAAATGCCGTGGACTAATTTGTGTCCTGTGACCCACAAATTTACTTATTGATGCTCTAACCCTCAATGGGATAACATTTGGAGAGGGTGGTCTTTGGGAGATAATTTAGATGAAATCTGGAAGGCAGGGGCTTCATGATGGAATTAGGACCATTATAAAAAGCCCTCAGAGAATTGGCTTCCTCTTAGCCTTGGCAAGGTGGCTTTCTTCAAGCCAGGAAGAGAGCCTTCACTAGAACCCTACCATGCAGGCATCCTGATCTCAGTCTTCAGGCCACCCAGTCTGTGGTATTTTGTTATGGTATCCCCAGCCGAAGAAGACATAAGTTCATCCAACTGGGGTATGTTGGAGGAAGAGCAGCTAAAGGGTGCATGTTAGTTGGAATTTCTTGGAGTCATTGAAAATAGATGTCCATTAGGTAGTTGTGTATATCCAGCCATACCTCAGCTGGGAGGTGTGGACGGGTACAGAGAGTTAGGTCTCTTCAGTAATAGATGACTTTATGGGAAGTATAAAATCACCTTGGGGAATGAGAAGGGAGCTGATGACAACCCGTGAAGAAGCCACACTTAGGAGCAAACATGAAAAGAGTCGTTCAAGAAGTGGGAGAGTCAGCATGAGGAGACTAAGTGTTTGTTTACTGACCTCCAGCCAAAAATGGAGTCCAACCAGTCTTTTCACAAGTACTTTGCACTCTCAACTGCTTTGGGTTTACCGGTGTCACTGTTGAAACACACTGGCAAATTAAATTACTGTGGCAGAGTTTATGAAATGTTTTCAGTAACCAAATAATATATCATTTACTTAATTTGCTTTTTGACTCCATGATTTGATGAAAATGTGTTGTTAACAATATCAGTCTTTTTTAAGTTTTAAAAGATCGTGATGCGTTTCCTAAACGTAATGTTTGTAAAATGCTTGATAGCCTGTTGCATTGTTCAGCAAGAACTGAGGCAAGCGGCTGTGATAAAACTTCTATTGAATACACTAGGAAGCTGCAAATTGGTTCATGACTCAGTAGCAGAGCACTACCTCCCCAGTTAGATCTCTAGTCCACTGTTTTTCTGATTTTGACAAACACGTGCTTCAAGTAGATATTTGTTGTTTAGAAAGGAAAATAAGTGCATAGTAAATATAATTAATACGAATTATTTTTAATCTTAAAGATGAAAAAGAGATTGCATTTATATTCTGCCCTGGGGGATACAGTGGGCCTGGGAGATAAGTCAGTTCTCGTCAACCATAAAAGATACCCGAGGAGGTAGGGAATCAGTCAGGATGTGACTGGTTTGAGTCACCGCTGGATTCAGTTATCAGGGATTATGGCAAAGAGTGTAGGTTGGTAGGTTTGTGGTTTAGAACTGGACCCTAAAATGTGTCCAGGGCCCAGGCTACAAATAACAACTAGCTTGAATTCAAGAAGGTATTAACATTTTTATTCTGCATCTTTTTCACTTAGATAGGACTCTGTTTTTGAAAAGAGTGACAGTTTTTACCTTAGACTCTCCAAATTTAGCTATAGCTGGCTTTATAGCATTTTATCTGTAAATAAATCTTTCTCAGGTGAGTTTTAATTTCAGAGGGCACTAATGTTAATTTCACCTTGTATTATATTTATTCATCTGTCTACATTGTCTGTTGGGTTGGGAGCTCTCTAATAGTGGGACTATATCTTGTGCATTTTGCATCTCCAGTGGGAAGATCATTAGCTATTTGTTAATCATTAAGTAATCAACGGTGCCATTTGGCTATCACCTGACTGGCAGGTTCTAGTTCCCCAGGCTGCTTGCATAACTTTTGCTTCAAAGTTTGCATTATACCACTGAGACCACGTTACGGTCCATGTTAGCTCCTCCTTCAAAATCCCAGTGAAGTCATAAAGTAGGCAAACTGTTTGAAGGAGGAGGAAGGGTGAGAGTGAGAAGCACCCTCTAAGCATCAGATGAATCAAATCAAAGTACGCGTTTCAGACTTCATTGTGGGTTACTTAGGTCTACACAGGTTAGCATCTAAGGAAACCACATTTCACTTGGTGAATATCCTTTCGGTTTGTGTGTCTTCGTGGCAAGGTGCTGGTCTCAGGAGGAAACCTGCGGGAGTAAAATAATCATTTGTGAGTCGAAGCCTGAAGCTCTGTACTAAAGACTGTTTTCTAGAAAATTTCAAACTGACCCCAGAACTTAGGTTAATTATTACCTCTGATATGGAAACTGCCTACTCTGAAGAGTTGTTCTTCGTCATTATTTTAAAATCTAAGAATTGAAATTTGAAGAGTGCGTAAGATAGGGGTATACATTTCTTGAATTATGAAATGGATAGAGTTGATGCTATAGAAGAACATTGTAACCTGATTGTTACTGACCATTGAGTTAAGTGAATCACTTGGGATGTTGGAATGTAATAAATTGAAAGTTCTAGATAGATCTCAAAGAGCAAGACATGCACAATTTATTTAAAAAGCTTATAACTTCCTGTTTCCATTTTGCATAAATGTGATTTTTGTTTTGCTTAAGCTGTATTTAGTCCATGTAAAGTTCTAACTAATCTTTAATCCACTTGGGTTCTAGGTGTTAAAAATAGACCAACAGGGCATGATGTTTTAGATGGCTCATGTGAAGGCTTTAAGGACCTCATCCAACCTCATGGGGAATCGAAGAAAAGCGAGAGAGGCAAAAAGGTCAGTGTGTGAAAATATTATTTTAAACTTTCAAATGCTGATACATCATAATGTTCTTCCTTGGGTCAATGAAACACAAACTAGTCTCTGACTTGTCTTTTATTTTTAAAAATTGATTATGGGTAAATGCTGGAGAACTCTGAATATGAAACTGAGAGTGTTGGTTTCATTCCAAAGAATTACTATTGATAGACCAAGCTTTCTCATATCACTCTGCTAATGCATTTCTTGTAAAAATGCCTGTTGCTTTTCTCAAGCAGAGAATGTTGGTTGTACCAGTGTTTCTTGCCATTTTATAATCTGAATAAATATTTACTAGGTAGGAGGTGAAAAAATCCAAACATTCATTCACTTGTAAACTAACCAAGCAATCCAAGTAGATATTGAATAATCTACTTGGATTGCTTGGTTAGTTTACAAGTGAATGAATGTTTGACCTCAAGCCATCAGAGTGAAAGGTTTATATACTAACACTCAGGCACACCCATTCCTTTATGGTTTTGGCTTTAAAACCTTGCTCTTTCTCTAAAAAACTTCTCTTGCATGAGTATATGAGGAGGATTTTAAATTTTTTGATTATTCAATATCTACTTGGATTGCTTAAATTTAAAATTAGCCATTCTATATAACCTTGTATCTGGCTTTTATAAGGCCAAGGAAGTACGATGTAGTGAAACCTAAATTCACAATGCTAGGGAAAAGCCCTACCAATTAACAAGCAGCACATGGAAAGAATGACGGAATAGACAGATCTGCAAGGGGCTTCTAGGTCCTGATACTCAGGCTGGAAGAGAGGGGCAGCTGCATGTGACCTGTGGAGGAGAAACCCGACTCCTTTGCTGCTTACCTTGGCAATGGTTAAAAGACATTTAAAATTACACAGATTTCATGAAAGTTGGCAGTAACTTGTGGAAACGTAGATTTCTTTACTGGTGCTTTCTGGTTTGTCTCAGAAAAAAAGTGGAGCAAAAATATGGAAAGGAATCCTATTTCAGGTACTGCAACAGATGTGTAGAGAGACTGTCAGGTCCTGTAACATATCTGTAACTTGGCAACACCCAAAGCACCTGCTCTGCAATAGCATTACCCACCCTGGCTCCACTGCAGCTTGTGCGACCTGCCCAGCACGCTGTCGGAGGGCAGAGCCCTTCCTAGAACGCTGGGGGCACCGTGGCTGAGTTTGTGCTTTGCATCCCTGGTTCTCAGTCTTTTTTCCAACTGATATGTGGCTGCTTGACCCAGTTCCTTTGGAAAGAAATAAAGAACCAGTTTCCTCTGCAGCTAGTACTGTTCCCACGCCTCTCTTGCCCATGTGTCCCACTGCAGGTGGCCCACAGCTCTGCTTTGTGCCCTTCCACTTCACTGACACTTTATCCACTCTCTGCCCTCTGCTGATGTCTGCCCAGGGAAGCGGTGGGACCTCTCATCTCTGTTGCCACTGTACTTGGTACCATGTCTGGCAATTTTTTTTTTAAAGTGCTCAGTAAATATTGATTGTTAAGTTGCTTGTTACTCGCCATAAAAATGCTCTGTCCTGTCTGATGAAAAGGCATGACATTTGACTTTTTCATTTGCCCGCTATGGAAGTTACTATTTCAGACGTGTGGTATTGCCGTCCAGCACCTGGGATAGCCCTGGACTGGATGGGCTGGGTCTGTGGAAGCACTGGGTTAGGGACAGGCGTCCCGGGCAGGAGTGTGGCCCCTTCTTCCTTATGAGGCATCTCACTGTAAATGGTGTATGAATGGGAGATGAGTACCCGTTTGACCTTCTGTCATTCTTCTGTAGATCAAATAGTAAGTGCTCCATGAATACAAGGTGGTATTGTTGTCTTGAGTAATGATAAAAGAATGAGTGGCGGGAGTGAGGGACTACCAGGTTGCCTAAGAAGAGGTGAACCCGCCCAGGTTGAAAACGCAGTGGGTCAAAACTGCTGTGCTGATCAGTAGTAGGATCGCACCTGTGAATAGCCACTGCACTCCAGCCTGGGCAACATAGTGAGACCTCATCTCTTAAAAAAAAAAAAAAAAAAAAAAATAGAATAAGTGGTTAGAGAGGGAGGCAAAATGCAGAATCATAAATCCACACCTCCGTATCTGCTTTCAACTGCTGTGGTCAGGAACAAAATTATTCTCATAAACTGATCTGCCTAACTTGTTCAAATTTAAGTCTTCTTTTAAAAATATCTTAAAACATATTAGTAAACTTTGCCCTCATAATTTAGAATGTTAGTTCTGAAAGGGATCTGCCACTTGTGGTTCTGCATGAAGAAGAATCACTAAAAGCAGGCTTTAAATGCAGATTTTCTGGGCCAGGCACAGTGGCTCACGCCTGTAATCCCAGCACTATGGTAGGCCAAGGTGGACGGATCACTTGAGGTCAGGGGTTTGAGACCAGCCTGGCCAAAACCTGTGTCTACAAAAAATAACAAAAATTGACCAGGCCTGGTGGTGGGCGCCTGTAAATCCCAGCTGCTCAGTAGGCTGAGGTGGGGGAATCACCTGAACGCTGGAGGCGGAGGTTTGCAGTGAGCCAAAATCACGCCGTTGCACTCCAGCCTGGGCCACAGAGTGAGACTCTGTCTCAAATAATAAATAAACAAATAAGTGCAGATTCTCTGGTCCCACTTGAGACCCTCCAGGCCAGCAGCTCCCTAGCCCCGTACGGTGCCCATCCTTAATACGGAGGGGACGAACAGCCAGAGGAGAGGGCGAAGAATCCACCTTCCGTATCACGTCTTGCCAATACCAGAACCAACAAGACCAGGGTTTTTCCTCTCACAGAATTTTCTTCTTAATCCATTTGTCATTCCAGTTCACTACATAGCCTTTTCTTGAAGGAATCAGTGCTTCCAGACTGGGCTGTGCATGGGATTCACCTGGAGGTCTGTGAGGTATGTGACCGCCTGGCCCCAATCCCAGACATGCTGGTGTCATTAATACAGGGTGTGCCCTGGCCATTAGGATTTTTTAAAACTCCTGAGGTCATTCTAATGCAGAGCAAAGTTTGAAAACTACTGCCTTAGGGACTTTAGTAGAATTTAAACAAGTAATTTATCCTAAGAGAAGTTTTGTTTGTTTCTAAACACTTCTCATATAAACTTGTTTTATTTTTAGACTCTACAAGACAAAGGCTTGAAGTCCTGATTTATTTGCCTAAAGGTTGAGTGAGTGTTTTAGGAGTGCAAATTTAGATAGCAATATAGATGAAGGACTATGATTTATTACTTTACAGTTTAGAAGGAAGAATGATATAACTTTTTAAAAAGGCAACATTATTTTATTTTATTTTATTTTTTTTTTGATATGGAGTGTCACTCTGTCACCCAGGCTAAAGTGTACTAGTGTGCTCTCGGCTCACTGCAACCTCCACCTCCCGAATTTAAGTGATTCTTCAGCATCAGCCTCCTGGCACCTAACACCATGTCTGGCTAATTAAAAAAAATTTTTTGTAGAGATAGGGTTTCACCATGTTGACCAGGCTGGTTTTGAACTCCTGACCTCAAGTGATCCACCCTCCTTAGCCTCCCAAAGTGCTAGAATTACAGGCATGGGTCACAGCACCTGGCCAGCAACATTACGTTTTAAATATACAACTTCTCGGTAGTTTGAGATGTTTTGATATGAGCATGGGAGAGAAGTTTATGTTGATATGTTGTAATGAGTCTACAGAAACACTAACATTTAGTTTCCTGGTTTTAAAAGTATACAATGGAATTGTGGAAGGATTGAATTGGTGAATAAAAATTAGAAGTTTCTGACTTGCAGCTTACAAATATAACATTAGTATCTCAATCATTCTCTTTTTTTTCCCCATTAAATAGATTTTACCTGCTTATTTTGTTCCTTGTTAGATTTCAAGATAATCTGTAAGATAATCTGTGTTAAACTGAAATTTGGAACTTAACATGGCCATATCTTTTTTTTTTTTTCTCTGAGACAGAGTCTGAATCTGTCACCCAGGCTAGAGTACAGTGATGCAATCTCAGCTCACTGCAACCTCTGCCTCTAGAGTTCAAGTGATTCTCCTGCCTCAACCTTCCAAGTAGCTGGGACTACAGGCGCATACCACATATTGTTATGTATAAGGATATATGAAAGTATCAAATTTGATTAAGCACAAAATTGTTTCTATTTCCTAAAAAAAAAAAAAAAAGAAAGAAAAAAAAATCTTGTAGTTGAATATTAATGTTGAAAAAAGGAAAGTTTACAGGAAATATCTTTTATTAGCTGATGAGTGAAGCCAGTGCGTCTACTGGAATGGAGAAGGGTAAGGTCTAGAATATAGGCCTGACATTTTTATATTTTCACTTGAGAGCTGGCCTTCCTGTATTTCTGAGGTTAGAAAAATGATGTGACACTGAGACGTGTCTCGTGGCCCTAATGACTTCATTTGCTTTTGAATTTTAAGTTTGAAGTAGCACTTGAAGATAATGTCCTATCTGGGTAGCCCTGCAGATGGGACTGTCAGTCAACGAGAGCTGTCAATCCTGAGTCCCGAGTAATGGCAAGGTGCAGGGTGGATGGTATAAAGGTGAGAAAGGTGGTCAAGCCTGGGGCCCACGCAAAGAGCAGCACGGCCTTGCTGTGGCCCAGAGGCGGATGTGGAACCTGCTGGAAGAGAGAGGCTGACGTCGGCCGCGGCAACAGGCTCTGGGCTTAGACAATTCTCATCTTTGTGATTGTCGTACCAGAGTACTGTGTTTGTTCTTCGTCTACTTGAGAGTCACAGGCCTTCCTGTCTTTGATCTGTTCTGGAAACTTCTCCACTATTATTTTTCCTGCCTGCTCTCTCACGCCTCCATTGCGGAGAATGCAATCCAGTGTATTATCCTTTGCTTCTCTAGCCCATGTGTCATTAATTTCCCTCTACTTCTTTCCTCTTATATCTCCTCATTTCATTCTGGATCTCTTCTACTGATTTCCTTTCCATTTCACCTTTGACTCTTTTTAAGTCTATTCTGATGCTAAATCTACATACTGAGTTTTAACATGTATTAT